TACGCCACCACCCCCGCGTTCCCTATCAACAGCCACTTGACAGTGACCGCGGGGTGGCCGCGCATGATCCAGATTTAGCCGCGAGGTCCATTTTGCATTATTTTTGTTAGGGATGGTAGCCGTGCGCGCAGCAGGTAATACGCTTACACCCCCGCCGTCCCTGTCAAAAACAATACAAAATGCTCGCGGGCCTCACAAACATGACTCAAGACTTTGCCCCGAAGTATACTTTGCATGGTTTTTTGACAGGGATGGTGGGGGCCCGCAGCGGGTTGATTGCGCATGCATCTGAATTTAGAGGCAGAGTGTGTGTGTGTGTGTGTGTGTGTGTTTGTATCGTTTTTGACAGGGATGTTTGGGGGGTGGAGATCACGGGGTCGGCATTAATTTCTGGTTGGCTTCCGGTCGCCTGGGGGAGGGGGTGTTTGTTAATAGGAAAAAGTGATACACCCCTCGCCGAAGGAAAGGAAAGGAAGAGGAAGGAAAGCAAAGGAAGGGAGGTGGAAGAGGAAAGGCGCTTAAACCACTCACGCCCTGAGGGCTGGTGGGATTCCAGGCGAGAGGTCTTCGGGGGGGCGGCTGCGGGTGGGGGGTGCGGTCTGCCTCAGAGGACAGAAGAACCCTTGCACCCGACAACGGGCGAGCATCTTTACTTGCCCACTCCGTGCAGGCCTGGCGGCGGATCGTGTACAGTCGAACCGAGGTATGAGTATCAGATCGAGATCGGTTCGGGGAGGGTGTGCACCCTGGGGAGGGTACCCTCGGATGTCCTGTGTGTTTTGGCTGGCGCAGGGTCTCGTGTTCTTGAGGGATGCTCTTCTGTCCTAGGTTCGACTGTAAACGTTTCCGCCCGCGGGGGTGCCTGTCCCAGGGCGGCTGGGTGGTTTTACCGTCCTTCGACCGCTGCTCCATACTTCACACCAAGAGGGAGATGATCGGATTTGGGAAGGGGTCTGACTGGACCTGTCTTGGATGGCTCCAGGGCGTCTGGCTAAAATTGCCCGTCTGGGAGGGTTGTGACTCACTCCCGTCTATTGCGGTAGGCTCGCGTCCTGTCGACCGGCGGCGACCACCCCTTGGCGGCGTTCAATGTGGAACGCCGGCGGCGGCCAAGAATCTGTCGATGTTGAACGATCTGGCGTGTCGGAAACGGCCGATCGTTCGAGGTTGAGCGATCCCCGCGGAGTCAGAAGCCAATGCCGAAGTCGGCACGACGCGAGCCTTGCGGCGAACTGTGGAGGAGGAGGAGGAGGAGGAGGAGGAGGAGGATGCCGCGATCGGAGATTGGCCGCAGAGGGCTCGCTGAGCACGCGCGCGCGAGCGCGGCCCTCCGCGCGGGCACCTCCACGCGCGCGCACGAGGAGAGGGCACGATCGGAGATTGGCCGCAGTGGGCTCCGTGCGGGCACCTCCACGCGCGTGCACGAGGAGAGGGCACGTGCGCCGCTGCCCTGGCGTGCAGTCGCGGGCCCTCTCGATTCGGCTCCTGCTGCCACTCTCGCCGAGGAGCTACCGGCGACGCCGCCGTCGTCGCCGCCGCCGTCGGCGCCGTCGTCGGCGTCGCGGTCGGCGCATCCGTCGTCGTCGTCGCCGCCGCTCGGCGTCGGCGTCGTTGTCGTCGTCGTCGTCGGTGTCGGCGTCGGCGTCGGCGAAGTCGTTGTCGTCGTCGGCGCTAGCGTCGTCGTCGTCGCCGCCGCCGCCGCCGCCGTCGCCGTCGCCGTCGCCGTCGCCGTCGCCGTCGCCGCCGCCGCCGCCGCCGCCGCCGCCGTCGCCGCCGCCGCCGCCGTCGTCGTCGTCGTCGTCGTCGTCGTCGTCGTCGTCGCCGTCGTCGTCGTCGTCGTCGTCTTCGTCGTCGTCGTCGTCGTCGTCGTCGTCGTCGTAGGCGTAGGCGTAGGCGTAGGCGTAGGCGTAGGCGTGGGCGTCGTCGTAGGCGTCGGCGTCGGCGTTGTCGTCGCCGTGTTCGTTGCCGATGTAGTCGTCGGGGGTTAGGACCGAGATTCGGGATCCTCGCTGGCTTTCACCCCTGCGCGGGCCACCAGCGACCTTCCCCAGGGAGAGGGAAGAGGGAAACCGCACAGCGATGGTCTTTGCAACGCCTGACTACTGAGAGGGCCGAATCTTTCACGGAGCCATGGCTACACTCAACGCCCAGTCGAGTATGACAGAAGAACGGCGCGAATAGCAACATACATGATGACGCCGTACGTGATGCGTCTCTAAGAGAGAACAAGCTTGTCGTCTCAGTGAGACCTTTCCGCAGTCTTTTTTTGCAGGATGTGGTTCCCCTGCGGCATGTCGTCGAACACGTGAGTGATCTCTTTAGAGGAGTTCATCCAGTTCCCCTCGCTTTCAAAATGCGATACGAAAAGCAACACCGTCTGCTCTCCTGCGGGGAACCAACCCTTCTCGGCTTTCCCCAACCATCCTGTGGTTTTGGGTCCTCGATTTGAATGGACAGCGCCCCGCGTCCTCCTCCTCCCTCTTCGCCCTCCTGCCTCCTCCCATCCCCGCCTCTGCCCTCCGCATGCCCACTTTTGGCGCACCACTCAGACGCTTCGTGGCCCCACTCAGACGCTTCGTGGCCCTCATAGGGAGCTCCACCTAAGGCCCCAGTGGCGACGTTCGCGTGCGTCCCATCCCGCCGATTACGGCGCCCCCCTCACACGTTTCGTGGCCCCCAGGGAGCTCCACTGACGGCCCCAGTGGCGACGTTCGCATGCGTCCTCCCCGCCTACTGCGGCGCCCCCCTCACACGTTTCGTGCGCCCATAGGGAGGTCAGCCTAAGGACCCAGTGGCGACGTTCGCACGCGTCCCATCCACCCATTACGGCGCACGTCTCACACGTGTCGTGGCCCCTTCGGGAGTTCCTCCTGAGGCACCAGTTGCGACGTTCGCATGTGCCCCCCACGCCGATTACGGCGCACCCCTCACACGTTTCGTAGCCCCACAGGAACTCCACCTGCGGCCTCAGTGGCGACGTCCGCATGCCTCGCCACGCCAATTACGGCTCCCCCCTCTCACGTTTCGTGGCCTCTTCGGGAGCTCCACTTGAGTCCCCAGTGGCGACGTTCGCATGCGTCGCCACGCCCATTACGGCTCCCCCCGCGCACGTTCCGTGGGCCCATAGGGAGCTCCACCTGAGGCCCCTGTGGCGACGCTCGCACGCGTCCCCCCCATTACGGCACCCTCCTCGCGTTTCGTGGCCCCTTCGGGAGCTTCACCTGAGGCCTCAGTGGCGACGTTCGCATGCGTGCGCACTCATTTATTTCGCCTCCTTCACACGTGTTGTGGCCTCTGAGGCAGCTCCTCCTAAGGCCCCAGGTGCGACGTTCGCATGCGCCCCCCCTGCCGATTACGGCGCACATCTCGTACGTGTCGTGCTCCCATAGGGAGTTCCACCTGAGGCACCAGTGGCGTCCTTCGCATGCGTCCCCCCGCATATAGCGGCGCAGCCCTCACACGTTTCGTTGTCCCATCGAGAGCTCCACCTAAGGCATCAGTGACACCCGCAGACTGGCCCCGTAGGAGGCTCCACCGAAAACGATATTCACAACTGCTGTACTCACAACATCACATGACTGGGCTCTTCGCTAGGATCTTTGTTTCAACCTCCACGGAAACCCCGACCCCTCCACCGAGAAGCCAACTCTTCCACCAAGAAGTCTCCATGAGCAGAACGTAACATAAACAACAACTTTGCGAAATCCGCGCTGTTTTTTCGGTTCGGCGCTGGAGCGCACCAGAGGCTCTGGCACCGGTCCAAGAACTTCTCGCGGACCTCCGAAAGTTTCTGTTCATGTCGTTGATTGTTCTTCGAGAACCTCTCGCCCCCCGGCAGCCCCCCGAAGCCCCCCGCCTACGTAGACGCGCCAACGGCGATATAGGCAACGGCGATGTAGGTTTCGGTATTGTAGGTGGGGGTGGTTCGTGGCCAAACCACATGCTGGAAAGGCTCATTCGTGCTCTCCCACGACTTGTTCTGCGCGAGCTCGGCGCCGCAGAAGCCAGATTCCCAACCTCACCATTGACCAACACCGCCGTGAGCGTGGCCTTGGCCCCTCCCCCCGCCGCCACCCCGCCCCCTCCAGCGAGGCGCTGGCACCCGCAACGGCTACCTGGCGGTTGCGCGGGGCTCGCCCTCGGCGGCGGCACAGGCGGTGACATTCGGGGGCCTTGAGACGGGAGGAGGAGGAGGAGGAGGAGGAGGAGGAGGAGGAGGAGGAGGAGGAGGAGGAGGAGGAGGAGGAGGAGGAGGAGGAGAGGGGAGGAGGAAGGAGGAGGAGGAGGAGGAAGGAGGAGGAGGAGGGAGGAGGGAGGAGGAGGAGAGGAGGAAGGAGATGAGGGAGGGAGGAGGATGGAGGAGGGGAGGGGGAGGAGGAGGAGGAGGGAGGGAGGAGGGAGGGGGGGAGGAGGAGGAGGAGGAGGAGGATGAGGAAGGAGGAGGGGAAGGTGGCGGATGGAGGTGGAGGTGAGGTGGAGGAGGTGGAGGAGGAAGGAAGGAGGAGAGGATGGAGGACGAGGATGAGGAGGGATGGGGGGGGATAGGGGGAGGGATGGGGGAGGGGGGGGGAGGAGGAGGAGGAGGGGGAGGGGGAGGAGGACAAGCTATGTGCGCTCGCGTCATATCTGACGTCCTACCCCTCCCTCCCATCCCTTACCATGGTGCTGATTTTCTCTATCCGCGGACGCGTGTCGTAGCGGACCTGTGGCTCCGCGCGCGCGCGTGCGTAGTGGGTGGTGGTGCGCGTGCGTGCGTGCGTGTGTGCGTGTGTGCGTGGTTGTGATTGTGGTTGTGGTTGTGGTTGTGGCGGTGGTGGTGGTGGTGGTCGTGGTGGTTGTGTGTGTGTGTGTGTGTGTGTGTGTGTGCGTGTGTGTGTGTGTGTGTGTGTGTGTGTGTGTGTGTGTGTGTGTGTGTGTGTGTGTGTGCGCGTGTGCTGTGGTGTGACGTGGTGTGGCGTCTTGGTGGTTTGGTGGTGGGCCAGGTGCGTACGTGCGTGATG